GTCTTCTGAATGTTATGAAGAATGTCACCTTCACTTCTGGGCTGATTATGGTGGCCAAAGGGACTTTCTTATTTGAGCCTTACTTGTTGAGTTAGGTCTCTTTGGTTGTAAATGAAAGAAACTTAATGTGCTGATAATGGAACAACATGGAAACCAATAGCCCCAGAATTTGAAATATCACCATTTCAAACCTTTAGGAGGGATGCATTCAATTCTCAATTTGTCCCAAGTCCAAAATCTCAGGGAAGGGTTCAATTGAGGTCAAATACCCACTCCAAGCCAGCCAGCTGTGGCCAAGGGAGTGAGGTCACAGTGTATGAAATGGTGGCTTCTGTAGTAACCATGGGAACGGCGGGGAAGGGTCGCAGAAAAGAGGGCAGCTGGGCTGGTAAAATATTTTTTCAATAAGCAGTTCTTGAGCATGCTCACGTGGGAGAGGCCTGGAGATACCTGTGCCTTTGCTCCCAAGGTGCTTGGTTTGCCCTTCGTACATCTAGTCAGAGTTAATAAGGCTCGGATGCTTCTCTTCATTACCTCAGACCCCAGAGGGTCACGGCGATCACAGAGGGGCCTGGCAGTGGTGGCCTGGCCTTTGTGGGGCTCATGGTCTGGGAGAGACAGGCTGTGCCCCAGTCCAGGCTCCCCTCACCCCTGCCTCCCGTCTTCAAGGAGTCACGGTAGAGCAGAAAGTGGTGGTCTTTGGTGTCATACTGAGTCAGATTCAAGTCCTGGCTCTGCCATTACTAGACCAGAACTTGGGCAAGGCATGTGACCTCTCTGAGCCTCAGTTTCCTCACCTATGGAAATAGGGACAAAAGAAGTCACCTTGTCAGGGTAAGTGACAATTGACACCAACTGGTTCTTACACTTGAAGGTGCATCCGAACCACCTGGAGGCCTTATTGCTGGGACCCATCCCCAGAGTTTCTGATTGAGTGGCTCTAGAGTGGCGCCCCTTCCCACTCCTTTAACAAGCTCCCCGTGATACCGTTGCTGCTGGTCTGGGGAGCACACTTTGAGAACCATTGACCTACCTTTATGGTGGTTCTCAACCGAGGGCAACTCTACCCCATTTTTCCCACTCCCCTCACTGCAGCAGGGGACATCTGGCAGTCTAGAGATACTTTTGTTGTCATCATGGGGTGGGGTGGGGGGGCTGCTATTGACATTCAGTAGGTAGAGGCCAGCGATGTAAAACATCCTACAATGCACAGAACAGCCCCCCATTTCCCCCCCACAACAAAAAATTATCCAACCCAAAATGTCAGTAGCGCTGAGGTTGGGAAACCCTGATCTAAAATAAGGCTCTGGTCTCAACTGTGCAGCTGTGCTACCCTGGCAAAGTCACCTTGTTTTTCTGAGCCTCATGATCATGCAGAATTAGTTCCAAGAAGCTTTGTAGCTCTACCACTCAACAACTTCAGTCAACAAACATTTATTATGTACCAACTACATGCAAAACGTGCCGGCATTTCTGTGCCAGGCACTTCCATAGGAGATCGCACACTTGGCAAACGCCGAGTAAATGTGGTTGGGTTTTCTATCGTAATGTGTAACGATTGCTTTACAACCCCGCATAAATAGTACTACGTTTCTGTCCCTGTTCTTGGTGGAATTTAGATAAACGATGCCACAGCACCGTGGCTTTTTAGTTTCGCTTATATGTCATAAATTAGTGCACTAATGAGGGCTTTTGGGGCACAAGCTTGCTAATTGGTGATGGTGACTATGGGCAGATGTGAAAACCGCCGTAATCACATTTTTTCCCCCCACTTGGTTAATTGAAGGCAACCTTTTGCTTGAGAGTTAATAAATAAAATATTTATTGCAATTAGTTCCGGCCTACAATATATTGTTAATTCACAGGAGCTCTCAGTGACTAGCGAGCTGAGGTAGAAAGTGCAGAAGAGCCTACAGGGGTGGAGCAGGCAAGAGCCCTCCTTGGGTAAATGCCTGGCTGTTGTCCTTGGTTTCTAAACAGCTGTGGTGGAAAAAAATGGCAGCTCAGCCAGAGTGACCAGCTCATCGCGGTTGGCTCAGGATTTTCTTGGTTTACACGCTGAAAGTTCTGTGTTCCAGGAGGCCCTTCATTCCTGGATAGAGACTGAAGAATTAACAGGAAATTAACAGGAAAAGGAAGATGATGGGTGAAGACATATCAGTTAGAGGGAATAGCCTGTGCAAAGGCTCCAGGGGGGTTAAAAAAGAAAGTGATGATATACTTGGGGTAACTTGGTAATGCTTCTGGTGATGGCTGGCAATCCTTGGTACTTCTTGGCTTTCAGCTGTAGTACTTTATTCTCTGCCTCTATCATCACATGACATTCTCCCCTGTGTGTCTGTCTGCTCTTCTTATAGAGACACCAGCCATATTGGATTAAGGGCCCACCTTACTCCAGTATGACCTCATCTAAACTATTGGGTTGTTGGAAAAGTCATGACACATTTTTGCAATGAAAAACGTAGAAAAAATACGTCATGACTTTTCCGACAACCCAATAATTATATCTGCAGTGATCCTATTTCTAAATAAGGTCACATTCTGAGTCTACAGGGGGTTAGGACTTCAACATATCTTTTTTGGGGGGGACACCATTCAACACTTAACAGTTTCTAGAGAATAAATTCCTTGCCATGTGGACTTGTTTGTAGGGCAGCTGGCTTCTCTCAGAGCCAGTGAGGGAGAAAGTGAGAGAGAAAGCCAGCAAGTTGGAAGTCTCAGCCCTCTTGTAGCCTAATCTCAGAAGTGATATCTCATCACTTTTACGGAGTTAAAATATTGAGTCACTAGGTCCAGCCCCCAAAGGGGAGGCGATCACATATGGGTGTGAACACCAAGAGGTGGGCCGTGTTGGAGGCTGTCTGCCACACCCATTGAGAAGCAAGCTTGCTGGTGTATCCACCAAATCCCATTTTCCCTGGTTGAAAGCTGCTCCTAGGAGCTTTCCTTGTGTTAGTCCTGAAAGTTCTGTTTCCTGGGAAACCCCTTAGTCCCAGGCAAACCAGGATGGTTGGTCACCCCAGCACGAGCAAAAACTGCTACCTGGGCACAATTGAATCAAGAAACGATGACACACTAAAACCTCCCACGATGTTATGAGATTGTATAGCTGGGTCCAGTACACCAACAGCTGAGATGTAGGATGGAGAAAATGTGGCTTAGCATCACTTGTGGAAAATAAATTAGGGCCTTTTGTTTATTCCGAGCTCACTCAGTGTCAACAGCTTGATGTGGCCCTCCTGAAAGCGGATGCAACACAGGCATTAATGAAAGCATTGCTCCAGGAACAAAATTCACAACAGTAGGCAAAAGCTAGGGCCATCAGAGATGCATTGTCAAAATCCGGTTGGACTTTGCACCGATTTGAGAGGATAAAGTAGAATTAGACAAAAGTAAGTTCTCAGCATACTGAAGGAAAAGGCAGAGAGATGGTACTAGCTGTCACAGGCAGGCAGAGACAAAGGGCAGAGGAGCCTGATTTTACATGCAAATTCTTCAGTTTATTAAGAAAAGATGTTCTCGTGGTGACTCTGTTGAGGCCCACCAAGAGCATTCGTGTTGCCACGGAGATGCGGTTGGTCTCCCAGAGAGAGAGGGTGGGCTACTCTCTCCAGTTGTCTCCTGAAGCGGTTCTGGGGACACAGGCCCTTTAGGCTCTTGTTTTTTTCTGGTGTGACTTTTCCAGAGGTCACTGCTTAAGGGAGTGGAGCTCAAATTTGAGTGTGCATCAGCCCTGGAAGACTTGTTAAAACACAGGTGGCTGGGTCCTGAGGGTTTCTGATTCCAGTAGGTCTGGGATGGGGCCCAAGAATTTGCATTTCTAACATCTACCAGGTGATGCTGATACTGCTGGTCCAGAAACCACTGCCCCGGGGCAATGAGGCCCAAAGCTCAGTTGCAGTTGTATTATAGGAAATTGAAGCTTATCTTTGCCACTCACATTCATAATTGTCTCCTACTGTTGTTCTCTCCACTGTGGAACAAATGAATGTGTGTGGCCTTCTGGGCTTATCTCCATTTCTGACATGTCATAGCGAAGAAGCTCCCTATTAAAATCATCTAATTCTCAGGCTTTTCTCACCAACCTAGTATTCTTTTTTTTTTAAGATGTTTGATTTAATGGAGCCAACTTTTTTTTTTTAATTTTATTGGGGAACAGTGTGTTTTTTCCAGGACCCATCAGCTCCAAGTGAAGTCGTTGTCTTCAATCTAGTTTGTGGAGGGCACAACTCACTGGCCCATGTGGGAATCGAACTGGCAACCTTGATGTTGAGAGCCTGCGCTCTAACCACCTGAGCTAACCGGCTGCCCACCAACCTAGTATTCTTGATGCTGAGATAATGTTAGAAAATTTTGCCTCCTTTTGATGTCTGGCATCTACTCATCATAACTCCCTGAGAAGAGAAATATATACATTATGGGTCTTTGCTCTACCTAAACCCTGGCTGCACATTAGAACCCCCTGGGGAGCTTTTAAAGCTCAGTGCTCAGACAGCACCCCAGACCAATTAGCTTAGAGTCTCGAGGGATGTCAGGCCTCAGTATTTTTTAATATTCCCAGGGTGATTCCCACATGCAGCCAAGGTTGGGAACCCCTGGCCTAGAAGTATTGTCTGCAGGGGACTTGCCAGTGTTCCAGGCCTGGGCAGGGGAGGTTACATGCTTGGCTTAGGGCACAGGAGCTGGAAGGTCTAGTCCCAGCCTCAGGGGTCCCCACCTCTAAGCGCAGGGATACCAGTGATAGCAGCACAGCCTCAGGTTTTCAGCTTTGCAGAGCCCTTCCTCCAAGCTTTTAAACTCCGTTTAAAACCACCAACTTCTTCCCTGTGTTTCCCCAGCCCTCAGGGTGGTAGCTGCTTCTTGGAATCGCTGCTTCTATAATCTTACTGTTCTCTTTTTGCTTTTCAGTTCCTGGATAACACTTTTATACCCCGTTAACAATTATTTACTTTAAATTATTTATATTCAAATAACTGGTGGTGTTTTTGTCTCCTGACCAGATCCCGACTGATAACGCTGAGATGTGGAGACGAGGGAACCCTGGAACTGACGTGTGGATAATTTGTGTTCTTGGGTAGAAGAAATGGAACAGAAACCGTGTTCATAGAGGAAATCGAAGGAAACATTCCCCAAAGTGAAGGTAGGTAGGTCTTTTCAGCTCAAGAAGGGTTACCAAGTAAATTTAGTGGGGATAAAAAAAAAAACCTAACAGTTAAACATATACTCTGATGAAACCATTACATTTCAAGGATAAAGAAAGACTCTATGATGAGAATTTCTGCAGAAGAAAAGGGTTGTCATCAAAGCAAATTAAGATCCGATAGCCTTAGCTTCTCAGCTCTGACATGAAGCAGTGAAGGCAATTGAAGAATGAAGGATGGGATCCAGCATTTCATGCCCAAAGTTGATGTTTCCATGTGACTCAAATCCTCAGGGACTTAGGAAGCACAGCATTCATACATCCTTGGGGGAATGGTTGTGGGGCGGAAACATTTGAAAATGTACTTCAGTCAACAAAGAACTCAATGAGAAAGGCATCTAGCATCCCTGGAAAGGGAAGTGGTGGTATGATGGTATGCTTTGAGATCGTTTATATGGAAAATGAAACTTAAATAACCATGGAAAAACGGTAAAACAGAATGTACCTATTCTAATTCTTAAAAAAAATACACGTAACAAAGTAACCCCTTGATTTTACTATAAAAGACTGAGACAGACATTGCCAGAGTTTACCAGCGAAAACCGGAAGATGGGGTGAGCAGCGGGTGAGGCAGTAGAAGGGAACTGACTTTCTTATCGTTCGCAAGGGGAGTCAACAGCTCCTTTTTCATTTCTGAATTTGGTAACTTCAGACATGTGCATGAAAACATGTTATTTAAAGATATAAAAATAATCACCAGGAGAACTAAAAACATTCTGTTGACCAAGTTAGCAGAAGGTAGGAAAAATGAGAAAATAACTGTCTTAGGCTGTTTGGGCTGCTATAACAAACTACCGCCAACTGGGTGCCTTTTAAACAACTGAAGTTTATTTCTCATGGTTCTGGAGGCTGGAAGTCCAAGATCAGGGTGATGGCATGGTTAGGCTTTGGTGAAGGCCCTCTCCCGGGTCACAGACGGCCGACTTCTTGCTGTGTCCTCACCTGGCAGAAGGGGTGGGGGAGCTCCCTGGAGCCAAGGGTCTTGCATTACCCCAGGTCCATAATTGCCCTTTGTAAGCTTCGTCCTGGGGTGAAAGGGAGCAAACTGGCAGGTGGTGGGAAAGGCGGGGTTTGGAATCCCTCAGACCTGGACTTGGGACTGAGCACCGTAACTAATGCTGTGCATCCTTGGGCAAGACACTTCACCTCTCTGAGCCTTATTCTCTCCAGCTATACAACCTATAATATTTCCTCCTCTAACAGAGTTGTATTACAAATTAAATGAGGCCCCCTCTAGGGACTGGGCAGTGCTTGACCACAAGCAATGTATGAGTTCTTACAGGAGGACAAACTGCTGACATAGTGTGAACTCGATTGTGTAATGATCACAGAGCTACCCACCCACGTGAGGATAGCAGCCTCGGCCTCGCAACTGCTCACATTGGGGCTGAGTAGTTCTTTGTGTGTGTGACTGTCCTGTGTGTCGTAGGAAGTTTAGCGGCATCTCTGGCCTCTACCCACTAAATATCAGCATCACCTCCTCCCAGTTGTGACAGCCAAATATGTCTCCAGGCATTGCCAAATGTCCCCTGGGGGACAAAATTGCACTCAGCCGAGAGAATTGCTAGAATCGAGAGAGATGCAGAAGAGTGCTCCCCAATAGGGGATGGTTTTTTACCTCCAGGTAGTGAGACTGGGGGGAACTCCCCCCCCCCTTAGCATGGTTTGCCTTTTCAAATGCAGAATCTACAAAGTGCGTGCATTTAGGTGGTGAGTAAGACACACATGTTCAGTGTTTTATTTTATTATTGCTTATTTTGTGGAACCAGAGGCCAAGCATTGTCCCCTCCGTTCTTCAAGGAGCTGCGTCTTCAGACCTCTTTTTGTGTGTGACTGCTGGGCGCGTAGGAAGAAAGCAATCAGTGTGGGTTTTCTGTTCCTCCCGCAGCTCTTTGCTCCAGGAGAGAACGGGGTGATTAGTACAAAGCCTTCGTCCCCAGGGCCCACAGAACGGAGCAGTCCTTGTGCAAAGCCTAGCAACTTCATGATTTTGTTTCAAACAAGCGGACATGCAATTTGTTGACACAAATCTCCCGCAGAAGCGCGCGTTAGGCAGTGATCCACCTGAGCAGTTAGCTCTGCTTGTGGCAGAGATCTCAAAGACCCCCAAAGTGTAGCGTCATCATGTGTGTATCACAGCTCTGAAAACGAACAAGAGATGTGCCATTGAGACTGATTTCCCCATTATCCCATGGCGTTCTGATTTTTAAAAGAGATCAAAATTTCATTTTTCCCAGAAGAAAGGGAGCGCCGATTCACAGATTTCATTACCAACTTAAAACAAATTGAGCAAAAAAAAATTAGGGGGAATGTTTTCTTCATACGCAGCGAGGCCTCCTTTTAAAACCAGCAAACATCTGTGCACTTAAGCACCTTCTGTTAAGGTCTGAGGAAGTCAGTTTCTGGAATATGTGTGAGTTCATTGACTCTGCCTCACTTTCAAAAACCGAATAAGAAATGAAGAAATCATCCTCTAGTTTTTTTTAAGGGTAAAAGAAAAGGATGCATCTGCCAAGAAAAGTTTGGATGGGGCATTCAGAGCGCATAATAAACAGATGCAGAGGCTGCCTTGGGCTGGAACAGGGCCAGACGCTGGGCAGCGCTGGGGTGTTCTGTTCTGAGCTTTTATTTATGAATTTGAAAAATCACATCTAGTGCTGTGTTTCTGAGTGTAAAACATATTTGTTCACTCCAGAGCTCTGCTCCCAACTACAGTAGCCACTCAGCATGGGAGGCTGTTTACATTTCAATTTCAATTAATAAAAGCAAAGAAAAACAATTCAGGTTGTCTGTCGTATCACACATGACACTTTTCACGTGTCAGGGACTACTTACTACCATGTTGGATGGCACCGCTCTAGAGAATTTGGAAAATAAAGATACGTATAAAGGAGAAATGATAGAGGGGTCTTATTCCTGCCTCCCACCCCTCAGAATCACGGTTGTTGAAGTGCGGTGGATTTCCTCCTGATCTTTTTTTTTTTTTTTTTTAGTATTTTTCATATGAAATTTAAAAAGTTGTTTTAATTGGGCTCTATACTAAGTACAGTAACCATCTTCTTTGTATTTCTGACTTTCCACCTAATCTTTTCTCGTGAGACATTTCCCAGCTTAAAACACATGCGTTGAAAACATGATTTATAACATTTTATGATTGGAAGGATAATGTATTCTTATTACGGGGAATTGAAGTAAAAGAGAAAACAAAATTCCCCCTAAGATCTCATTACTCAGAGATAAAAGTCTTCAGCCTTTTGGCGAGCATTCTTTCGGATCTTTCTTTGGTCATAAATACACAGATGGGTGTATAAGTAGCTTTATTAGGGGTATTTCCATGTCAGTGAATGTAGAGATACAGCATGCCTTTTATTAGGTACGTGTTATTTCAAGGCACAGCTGTTCTGTTTGACTCTCTTGCTTCATCTGATCAATTCCTCCCCTCTTTTGCAGAGTTCTCCCCTCTCTTCGGAATTTTTTTTCCTTCTTATTTTCCTTCCTTCCTTTCTTCCTTGACTCCCTTCCACCCTCCCTCCTTCCTGCTCTCTGTGCCAGGCACCCTGCTAATGTAAAGACTAGAACAGTGATGAAAATATTGGGCTGTCGGAAAAGTCATGATGCATTTTTGCAAGGAACAACATGGAAACACACACGTCACGACTTTCCCAACAACCCAATAGTTAAGTTCCTGCTCTTGCAGAGTTTGTATCTTGGTGAAGGAGGCAGAGAAGACGATGGGCAAAGTGAAGAAATACTAACAAATAACAGCTCAATGACAGATCAAATCGAAGTGCTCCGAAGGAGGCAGCCTGGCTGGTTGAAGCATCCTGGGGGATGGATTCCAGCCTCACTCTCCCACCTGCTTCCTGGGGCGCCCTGGGCAGTGGAGAAGCAGGTGCTGCCCCAGGAGAGGGATGAAGTAAAGTGAAGTGACCGTCGCTGAGGCTGGAGTGGTCAGGGTGCTCACTGGACCTGGGGTCCAGCCGCTGACATGGCTCTAGACCAGTGATTCTTACTCAGGGCCGATTTTGTTCCCCTGGAGGACACTGGACAATGTCTAGAGACATTTTTGGTGATCACAACTGGGGGGACGTGCTCCTGGCACCTAGTGGATAGAGGCCAGGGCTGCTGCTGACCATCCTATGATGCACAGGATGGCCCCCACCACAGAGAATTATCTGGCTCAAATGTCAATCATGCCAGGGTTGGGAAACCCCTCCCTACAGGTGCCAGGACTTAAGGTGGACAGGGAGACTGAACCTGAGGAAGAGGAGGGTCCCCAGCAGGAAGGATGGTCATGAGGCCTGGAAGGGAGAGCTTGAAGAGACAGCTTTACCAGAAAGCCATGGCCAAGGAGTGGCAGTGAGGAGCCATGAGGGTGCTTCGTGCAAATTTGGACCTTAAGGTGTGTGCATGTGGGGGAGGGGGAGCGGGAGCCACTCTAGCTGGCGAGGCTGCAGGGAAAGTGGGGTTCTGGGAGACAAGGGCCTTCAGCTGAGACAGAAGGTGCCGTTGCTGAGCATTTGGTGATGTGGTTAAGCATGGGGGTGAATGTGTTTACTTAAAAGAGGTGTTTCTGAGGCAAAGAGACAATCTGGGAAGGAAGGGTGTGGCGGAAGGGGGGCCAGGCTAGAGAGAGCCAGGAGCAATGTGGGGGTGACCATGGAGGCAGGGACAGATGAAGTCAACTAAATTCTTGGCTCCTTTAGCAGGATCTTTTATGCTGGAGGTCAGGCTGGGGTATAAATCCGGGCCTGTCAGTTAACCCCAAGGCTGAGCCTGGTGGAGTAAAGGTGTCAGAGGGGACAGTGACCAGCAGGACTGAGCTGCGGGGGAGCCTGGGGAGGGGGGTCTGGGTGGGGTGTTCTGGCTCCTGGCCCCACCTGCTGGACTGCATGTTGGAGAGTTCTAGGCCTTGTCCAGTGTCTGGTCCAGCTCATACC